GTCGGTTTGGTTTGTTTTCCTTGCCTTCCCTAGACCTCTCTGGTGACTGATCCTGGCGACCGATCCGGTATGGTCGGCTTCGTTTGTTTCACTTGCGTTCGCTTTACCTCCGGTGACCGATCCTGGCGACCGAGCGACCGATCCGTGATTTGCCAGTCACCGATCCGTATCTGATCAAATGGATGAAGTTGCAGCTTTGATGAATTTGTAGAGTAAAACCCAACAAGACAAAGGTTGGTGCAGTTGTCCATGCCCCCACATGAGCAACTGCTAAAATGTGCGATGACCAATTCAGTAGAGAGCAATTATCGTGAATTTCAGGAGTTTGGCTAAAGCCTGCAAAGGCGATAGGCCCTCCTTAAAGGGAATAACCGTTCAATGACCTTGCTGGATCATGTCCTTTTATCATGTCCTGTTCTCCATGGGCAATCCTGGTCAGGAAACATACGATCGTTTTATCTTCCGTTCTGGTCGAGTTTCGAAGCTCCAATGCGGGTTGGATGTTCAAAGCTTCGGGCAGCTCGGGCAGCGGTCCTTGGCCGTGTCATATGGGGACCGAGAGCACACCCTATTAAAGTGTTTTTATATAATAGCGAACATTGGTCCTAGTAGTACGGCCAGTAGCCCCTAGTAGCGTCCTTGCTCCTAGTAGCGATGCCCTTTGCTCCTAGTAGTTTCTTGTTCTGCTTCTAAGGTTTCATGATTTTTTTCAGATGATGATCGAGCAAGGGCGGTGCGGAAGCCAAGGAGCTGCACACAGTGTTGTTGTTGTTGTTGTTGTCACAGCTACAGTTCCGCCTAGTTCCTGCTTGAACTCCAGATTGTTTTAACTGATGTGGCGATGTGCCGGGTAGAATCATTCAGGACTAAGATGTTCCATGGGTCTTTGGCCTTGAACATCAAGATCATCAGGTTTTATGGTAGCGAGAGGAGTTCCAATTGTATAACTACGTGCCTGTGGACGACGTTCCATGTTTGAGGCTAACTGAGCGCAAGAACGAGCATGAGGCTGCAATCAGCCTCAACTTCTCTGAAGAAAACTTTGCATACCTCCGGAGGAGCCCGGCTCTATGCCTCGAGTATCCTTAAGCCCCCCCCCCGACGATGGCTTGATTTCTTCAATTTTCTCATCAAGGGTGCTTCCCTGGTTCACATGAATGCTGTAGACTACTGTAGACCCGTGTCCATCCATTTGGGCACATGTCAAATCACAAGGCCCAAGGTTGCACAGATTTGTACATGGTTTTTGGTCATTCCTCGTGTGTTTTGTTGTTTTTTTAAGCAAAGGCATTCCAATGTCATTTGGAGTCCATTGCTTCTTATATATGGAACTTGAAATGCCTCCTGTTGCTTTGTTGCCGGTCCTCACAAAAAGAAAGGAGACTGAATGATTGACCTGGCAAAGCTTTAAGGTCTCTTGAAGATTCGCACAAAATGGCTTCGCAAGTGGAGCAAGTCTCGGTCAGGAGTGTGTGGATATGAATCCAAGCAATGAACCGCAGCTTTCCCCTCCGGCTCAAACGAGTTGCGACGCTTCCTCCCGCAAGATTTAAGCAGCGATTCGATCTTGGCATGGTGCATCCAGCAGGTGGGGGTGTCCCAGTGGGTGGGACTTGAACCATGTGAGAGATGAATATTTGAACTTAGAACAAGTGTGAAAAAAGATTGAGAACATGGAATCCTCGCGTTGGTGGCATATCGAGCCGTTGTAGTCTTGGTGGCACAGGTGCGGTCGAATCGATCAAGAATAATCATGTCCGAGTCCACGGTATGAATGGTTTGGTGATGTATGTTTTCCTTGTTTCAGTGCCATAGTCACAGATTAGCCATATGGGATCATATGGGTGTGTACAAGAATAGGGAGACCTCCTAAAGACCCTGGAAGAAGGGAAATAGACCAGTCGGGTGTCTCCCTATTGAAGAACAATATACTGTAATATATTCATAGTCATATTTTTATACACATATACAGACAGTATTTATACAAGTCAATTGGCAAACTCCCAACCTTACCACCTTTGGGTACCTTTGTCCGACTCGAGCTTGGCAACATATACTCGGCTGCAGGTGCTCCTAGACGATCGCGCCGCGCGGAGAAGAGGCAATCAGTGAAGCAAACCGAGCTTTGTGCATTTTTCATGGAATCTTGGCAAGGCACATCCAAGCGATAACCCCCACAGAACCCAAATGCAAAAGTTACTAAAGCATGAAAGTTCCTATGGCCAATGCGTTGTAAAGATGTTTTATTTTTTGAGCGGTGTAGATGGATGGAGGGAGAGTTTGCCGGCTTGCTTTACCAACTGAAAAAGAGCGGTTGCTCGCCCTGGTTTAGTCAGACTAGTGACTTGCCTTTTGTCAGGATTTCCTCCATTGTTTTCCTAAACCGAGATCGCTGTGGGAGAGATTTGGCATGTCATGTCCAAGTTCCTATGTGCCCAGGAAGGAAAATGCACACGTGGGAATCGGTGCACCTTTGCACATGGAGTCGATCAACTACGTCCTCGCCCTGACCTCCACAAGACAAGGCACTTGTGATTCATCTCATATTGCAACAGTGCATGCGTCAACAAATCGATGTCATCGAGTATATAATCACACATAAAATGCGGCGGGCCGGCCATCGCGAAGCTGCTTGGAGGTGGTATGAAATACAAGTTCTATCCGTATACCGTATACAGTATTTAAATGGCCCATGTGATTCCGCACATTTGGACAGATTTGGGCGGGCACAGAACAATTCACGTAGTCAGCGTCGCAAGTTCGAACAGAGGCAGTCATGGGTCTTCTCCAGGCATCTAAATCTTGTGGGATGTATATAGAAACCTGGTATACGTAAGACGATTAGGGGCGCGCTGTGCACACTCAAAGCGCTGACCTCTCCAGAAACCACGCCAGCCGGCAGGACGTGATCCTGCTAGCTGCTAGCTTGGATAAAGTCGTATTGACCCTGCCAGAACATCAACATGCATGCGCCATTGCTCATCGGGGTAGTTCCTCGGTAAGTCTGTCCGGTCCCTTTCTCCGCAGGCTGTGCTCATCTTACCAGATGTGGATTCCTCAGTTTGAAAGTTTGTCGATGGCTGTAGGCAGTTAGACAGCACCAAGGGATACCAAGGGTCTCCTCATTGCAGATATGTTTCAGTGTTATATTGTGTCGTCCGCTCCATCATTTACGCCCATTCAACTGGAGACAAGGCTGCTGCCTTTGGTAATATAGGGCTCTCTTAACTACTGCACTACTTTCAGCCCAAAAGCCTTCTGGCTCAACTACTCCGATTTTTTTCCGCCTGTTGCGTGAGTGTTTGATTCCGGCGATTTCTTCAGCTTCTTCATAGGAAAAAGAGCCAAGTTTTGAATCTGAGGTTCATGCGCTGTCCATACGGCGAGTCATGCACTCACGCACACGGTCTGTCCCTCTCAGAGAGTCTGGGAGGGGTGGATTCCGACAGTTCAGTGGATTCGCAAAAGACTGGGTGAGAGTAGCCATGAGAAACATCACAAGCATTGATATGATATCATCCACATTCGCCGTAGTGTTTTTTCCAACTTTGGTTATCAAGGGTTTATCTCGAGTCTTACTGCAATATGTTTATGTGTCCACACTTCAACACTGAAGCCGTGTCATGCTCGTGGCAGGCATCGCTGAGCTCCGGTCAATGGGACCACAAGATTTGTCACACGGATTCGAGGGATTTGAGGCGCGGACGGCCTAGCGCAGATGGCTTGGCCTCAGGGCTTCTTTTTTCTTTTCAGCCCGCTCTTACTTAATTGAGTAATTAGGCGCTTACTTAATCTTAAGGGAGAAGTAAGCTTACTACGAGAAGTTCGCTCCTAGGTAGGACGCGGGATAAAGAAGCGCTCGCACTAATGATTTGGTTCCTAGATGTTTAGGGAAGATTTGGTTCAGGGCCTCAGGGCCTCCGACTGAAGTTGTTTGGAAAAAGCACTTGCTATGGTGGAGATCTTGTCTAACCAGATTGAGTCGATTGAGGTTCTCAAGATCTCAGTCAGTTTGTACGCATGAAAGGAAGATGTCCAATGTCACGCAATCTCAGATGGGTTGGAGTTTGTGCAAACCGTCCATTTCACTCGCACTTCCAGGTGGGATACTTGGGAAACGATTTCAATGTTGACGATTTGTCGACTTCCGCCCGTTCCGGTATGTCCGGAGAAGACGTTGAGCACTTTGGATGCAAGTAACGGAGACTGGGATTTGACTGGTGTGTTTAAGAAGTTGATTTTGAAGGTGTGAAAATCAGAGGAAAGACTTTGTGTTTCGATTTAAGACTTCAGGGCTTAAATTCTTAACTGAGCCATTCCGAGTCCAGTAGTCTCAAAGTCTTAGAATATATTGGAAGACAGATTTGATGTGCAAGGACAACACTGTTTGTTTGGCACGTGTGAGCCACCGGCTTGTTTTGTCTTTTTAGGCTTCTTTCCAGCTCACTCAGAGCATTAGGAACACCAAGGCATTGTTCATTCTTGTACACTAAGTCCAAGGCCTAAGGCCCAACTGCAGTCGGACATCCAGCGCCAAACTACGCACTGTATTATTCCTACTACGCACTGTGATCTTGCGTTGCTTCACCCTTTGCAGCTCTTTGGGTAGTTGTTTCCCCAAACTGAATCGCACAATGCCGCGACCGTGGTAAGCTTCGCCAGCAACCCCACTTGTTCTTGCAAGTTACAACTAATTAAATACATCCAAATACCATTATATATTGCAATCTATATTCACGGCTGAAAGTTAGAATGCGGGGTTCATACCCCAATCCCATTTTTTTTCCCATGTAGAGATAGAACGCGTCTCAAAAGCCGCAAAACACGCAAGAAATAGAATGGGGGGGGCGCATGTTTGAAAAGTCAAAACGTGAGCCGGCAGTTAGAATGCTTGCACTGATGTTGTTCCAAATGTGTGCTTTTAGGTTACAATGTACGTCTTTGCGGGGCACAGCAAGAATGCGCGACACACACACACACACATAAACACTTCGCAGAGTTTTGTTCCCTTCCCAAGTCAGTGCCTTGTTCAAGTACTGGCAACCCGGGCCGCCACTACGCAGGGATTTCACATTGTGGGATGGAGGACTAGAAGTGCTGCATGGAACATTGTGAAACAGTACTTGTTCAACTCAACCTCCCTCCACTCATGGTTTCCTTTCAATTTGTTCTTCGCTGCTGTCCTTTCCCTCCACTCCCTGACAATGCCTTTGCTGTTTCTTTTCCCTTGTCATAGGCTCCTCAATAAGTATCTCAGCTGTGGGGCATACTGCACCAATCTGCACCATGTGATGTTACAAAGAAACGACCAAGGAAAAATGTAATGAGTGGTCCCGTTTTTGCAAACCATGGCTGATTCATTATGATAAAGAGTAACAAAAAACAACACGATAATACAGTAAGCATATAATGAATGCAAATACAGTACAGAGAATAGACATTCAAATGCCTTCAGTTCAGTCGTGAGCATGTCGTGAGCATGGTGAGGCAAGTTCAGTTTAGTTGTGATTCAGGTGTCCATACGAAAGATGTCTACACGTCCGAGTCACAGGGTTGCAGTGGTAGCGGTAGCATGGAAGCGGACACGGAAAATACTACGTTCAAGGCCAACAAAATGGGTGAATACTTGGGGTCCAAAACGATAGCAACACGATAACAGAAACGATAACACAAATACAGTCAAATACATGAAAAAGTCCTCGGGAAGACCATGTCCCATGTACGTGACATGATTGCAAACTCGCAGCTTTTCACGAGTCTTTGCAAAAGAAACAACAAACTATTTATGTGGAAGACCGCCTGGTGTTTCACACTAGGAGCAGGCTAGGACCCAATCAGAAAAGGTTGGTAGGGTGAAGTCTGGGAGGGCTGGTTGGTGGGCGTGTGAATTAGAGAAAAATACTAGAGATGAATCCAATTCAGAATAAAGGTGCACATTATGTCGTCTCCCCTGCATCACCAAAGCATGTGGCGTGCTTGTGGTCAGTGCTCCTGCAATGACTCCTGCAACTGAAAAACATATGCCATGCTGAAGTCTCTTTGAGGAATGGTTGGCAGG